GTGTTGTTTATAAGTTTTTTTTTTCTTCTTCTTGGCTCTTAGATTTAAAATTTTATTGCGAAATATCTTTGTCTAGCATTTAAAATTACTTATAAGTAAGTTCCCAACAAAAATTGGTTAAGTTGATATTTATTAATTTAAAATCATTAATTTAAAGCTAAAATTATAAGTTTAAATCCTTATAACATCAAGTGATTGATTTGTGATATATATATATATATAAGGAGTTTTAAAAAAATTTAACTCTGATAGTTTTTTTTTAAAAAAAATACTTTAACCATTAAAAACTAACAATCCCCTGTAAGCTGTAACAACTTTTTAGATGTAGGAAAGAAAAAATTCTTGTAAGTGAGGTTAAAACTCTATTTTGGTCTCTGTACTTCATAAAAAGTTTTTTTATAGTCTTTTTATTTAAGAAAACTCATTTTTTAATCTTTAAAGTTTATTATTTGGGCCCTTTTAGTCCCTCTATTAGTATTTTGCATATATAACATGTTAAATAACAGAAATTTCAAAGTAGAGGGATTAACAAGAGGGTTTTTTTTTTTTTTAAGTAGATGGACCAAAAAGGGCTTTCTTAGTCCATTTTTAGATTTTCATCATTTAATGTACCGTGTATGCAAAAAATAATAAAGGGACTAAAAAGAGGCAAGATAACGAACTTTAGGGACTAAAAAGGAGTTTTTCTTGAGTAAAGGGACTAAAAAGGGATTTTGGTTAAAGTAGAGAGACCAAAAATGGAGTTTAGACCATAAGTAATACCACAAAAACTCTTTTCAAAGTAAGAGTATGTTTGGTTAATGGAAGTGGAAAGGAGGCAAAATATTTCATCCAATTTTTGTCAATAGCTTAGGCTTCATTTGATAATACTTTACCTATATCTTTTTTATATGGTATCTTATTTAAAAATGTAAATTTATAATGAGAATAGTGAGAATTAGTACTAATTCTCAGCATATAAATTTTCAGGTTGATCCAGCATTTATAATCATTTGATCAAGAGACTTATATTTTTTAATATATATTTAACAATAGTAAATTTTTTATATTCAATGAATTAGTTATATATATTCAATTAATCTATAAATTGATATATGATCTACATTATTAAAAATTAAATCTAATGACTAGTTTTTGAAAATTTTCATTAAAATATAGTGTTTCTGAAGATGGAACTCTAATTTTTTAGGAAAATTAGTATTGATATTCACTATTCTTGTTTATAATTTTTAATTAATTTTAATTAATTTTTTATTTACTTTTACTAATTTTAATTAATATTTATATATTTTTATAATAGTAAAAGATACAAAAAACTTGCAATTATACTCAGAGTATAGCACAACATTGAGAAACGAAATCTTACACTTGTTCCCATGTGGTCGGAGGTAACTGCACTCAACACCCAAAATACGAAAAAAGTGCACACAAACCCCCTTGTGGTGTGAAATGTTCACTTAATGCCCTAAATTTTTGAAATGTGATCATAGCCCCCTGTGGCTTGCAAAATGTGTACTTGATCCCAAAGTCTATTAATATTAAAGTTGAAATCTCAAAAACACTTGTAGTTGAAGTGCACATTTTTGTAATGTGGAGAGTTACACTTACTCCAAACCACAAGAAGTGTAATTTGATCTAAAAAATTTCCCTCTTCAGCCCTCCACTCCCTTCCCTTCCCTTCCCTTCCCTCCACTTCTCTCAAAGCAAAAGATACTATAAGGGTCAAGCAGGTAATGATTTTCTTAGATAGTGCCCTTTTGACCGGTGATTTTATTTTTCTAAATGGCTTGATATAAATTGACATTTGGCTCAAATCTTAGAATAATAAATATCACTAACCAAAACCTTCCCCACTATGTATTTCACAAAGGCGACAAAATCATGTTTATTTCACCCAAACTTTTTGTATTTTCATATTTAAATTAAATATGTGAAGATAAAAATGGTCAGTGCTTGCCCTCATAAAATAGTTGAGCTAGTTCTTTATTTTCCAGAACATGCTCAAGAAAGAAAAAGCGATGCTTTTTAGTTCATGGCAGACAATGGTAGGACAATGAACTAACAAGCATACATTAACAATAGTTGGATTTATCAAACGCATACACACCTCACAACTGTCCCCAGTCAGAACTGCATGGGAATTTTCTCGTGTTTATTTCAACAATGTAGCAGAAAAATCAAAGTGATCTAATCAATCAATGTCCCGACACACTAAAAAGGCAGACAAAATTAATCAAACCTACAGTACCTACCTAAATCAACCATTTTCTTTGTGAGGAATAATCCCACATTGCATTGGTTGACAATGAAAGGTGACTAGCTCAATCGTTGGGTTTACAGGCAAAATAGTTGAATTATGGGTTGTAGGAAGGGTTTAACACTTTTCTACATGAGTCTTTTTTATGTTAAAATTGTAAGACTCACGGTTAGTTATGCAAATCTAACCTAAATTATTAATTGTTGATTTTTAAATTTGATTATTAATCATTGATTTTTAGATTTGATGATTAAAAATGATGGTGCTATATTTTTTAATATCTCTCAAATTGTTGGATTTATAGAAATCAACATGTGATTAGTAGTTTATGTAAGATTTTGACACATGTAAGTGTATCTTAACTGTATTAGTTTATATTAAAATATACAAATAAATCGACACTTTGTGTATCCCTTATGGCTTCTAAGTGTCCCTTATGGCTTCTAAAATCAAATCATCGTAAACAAGGAATTATATATTAATTCTTCTTGTTGTCATCATGGAAACTCCTTATATTCTCAGGTGCTAGACAATAATAATAAAATAGTTCACTAAATCTTTCCATTTTATTTTGTTCCATACCTCTACATTTCATTAATTAACTTTGATTGTGCAAAGGCATATAATTGATCCAATTACGAATATTTTATGTACTAATTAAAAAGTGTTTAAGTTTGGGTCATGGGTAGCAGATGGTATTTCTCGATACCTAAATATATAATTAACATATGTAATTAAACTAATGGTATTTAATTAACGTACGAACAAAAAAAATAA